ACCCGCCCGCTTCAAACCAGCCCTGCTCTGCCCCACAGCAAGGCGGCGCCTGCTCCCCAGGCCAGTCTCCCCCCGGGCGCTGCGGCTCTCCGGGCTCGGCCGCCGCGCGCGAGGCCCCGAGTCCCGCGGGGCCGCACGGCTGCGGAGACGGGAGCGGCCCTGGTCCTGGAAGACTTGTCTCGCTCCATCCGAACTGTGCACTCGGTGCAGTGAAAGACACGGGAATCGAAATGCTTGCCTCAGGCAGGACAGGGAGCGGGCCTTCCTCAGCACCCACCCGAGCATCCTCTCAGTACTGGGGACAAGGCGACCTGCCGAAGAAGTCTGGCTAGCGCTTCAGTGAGGGGAGAAGGGCTAGGAGCAAAGCTCCAGTCCCTCCTAAACTGTCCTCAAGGGAGCTTCACCAGTGTTTACCGCCACGGTGCGAGGGCTTCATCCAGCCCACCATGTAGTACCTGTGTGGCTACAGGCTCCCCCGGCCGGCAGCTGCAGGAGCTTAAAAGGGCTGTTCTGCCCCGGGAAGCACAGCGGCCTTGTGAACCCGCCCAGCCTCTCCTTGCAGTCAGATGGTGCCCTGTGCCTATCTGACAATTTGGTAAGAAACAAATGCTTCTGCTCCTCCATCCTCCTGTTAGCCCTGCAGAGCCAGTACAGCTGGGACGGAGTGAGCTGGAGTTTCCACATTTGGGGAGTCAGTAAGCAAGTTGCTCTCTAATCCACTACAAGTCTGTGCAAACCCCTGAAGAGTCACGCACCGGCTTTGGATGTCACCAAGACCAGAATGAAAACAGGAAGAACAGGCAGTGATGTGAACAAGAGCCTGGGACCTGAAAGACCCAGGACCCTGGCTTTGCCACCAACTTCCTACACAACCTCAAACAAGTTACTCCATTCTCCAGACATCACAGAGGGGTTGATGGTGCAAAGAAACGTACACCAAAGACAGAGGTGCTCAGACCCTAGGTGTTGGAGTCGTGCATAAACAGGGAGGGAAAATTTGCCCTGATGAGCCCTTACTTTTGGGGGAAGGTGTGCCCAGAACTTCAAGTTCATCACGGGGGCACAGAAGGGTATTGGTGAGTTTTTATTCACCAAGGTGCCCCCGGGGGTTACAAGAAATAATGGCCACAAGCTAGCAGAGAGCAGATTTAGACTGGACATTAGGAAGAACTTCTTCACGGTTAGAGTGGCCAAGGTCTTGAACGGGCTCCCAAGGGAGGTGGTGCTCTCCCCTACCCTGGGGGTCTTCAAGAGGAGGTTAGATAAGCATCTAGCTGGGGTCATCTAGACCCAGCACTCTGTCCTGCCTATGCAGGGGGTCGGACTCGATGATCTATTGAGGTCCCTTCCAACCCTAACATCTATGAATCTATGAACTAATGAACCCACTGCATAACCTGTCCCTCAGCAGGACAGCACAGCCAACACTTGCCAGCGAGAGGTTCTTTTCCACAGAGTGCACTGCATCTACAGTCATAAAAGGTCAATCAAAGCCTCACAGCTTAACCCTAAAATCTCTGCATGTTCCAGCTGATGCTGCACACAAAAGTAAAGCCACAAAGCTCAGTTTCATGTCATAACTCCCTGCAAACTGGGATTTGACTCTAGGCCATCACTAGCAAATAACCCAACAACACACAAGGCAGCCCGGCCCCAGCACTGACTCACTCTTTGCAAACGTTAATGCACAAGAGAGTCACAGCAGATATGAAAGGTAGTCTCATTTCCCAACAAGCTTCAAATCAATTGTTGCCAAAGTTAAGAAGCCCTCCCCCTTTCACAACATGGTACAAAGTTGCAACTGCTGCTGGAGGCTGGACACCTGGGCGGGCACAGTAATTTTCTGACTGATTACAGTAAATCTATCATGAGTAACAGAGGCTTCAAGATGGAGAATTATACAGCTCTTGAAGGGGAATCAATTATTAAATTAGAATTAAGTCCTAATTAAAAGCTATGGAAGAGGCAGTTGGTTGATGGTGTCTTTAAGTAACAACTAATTTCAAAGTCCATTTCTGTCATTGATTTATGAACAGGAAGTTCATTTTATCTGAATTAGCACCAAGTTTGCAACCCACCACCATTAAGCTGGGGCCTAAACAGACACAAGTTTAAAAAAAACACACTGGCAGAGCCTGGCACTCCATTAAGCCAATTAACATGCCTTCAATGAGATATGAGGGGGCTTCTCCTATTTTCCAGTTTATTAGCCAATTGTGTGCAGATTCTGAGTGCAGCACTAACAAAAGCCTGTGTGGGCTGGCACAGCTCCTCTCATTAGCGACACCGCAGGAGTATCTGTAGGTGCCACAGGAAGAGAGGAGAGGAAAAAAAATACAAGACAAGACAGGCCACTGCATCCAACCTCCATGAGCATTAGCAGCAGGTCTCATTTTCCAACCCTTTTGCTTCAGTGTTTATAATCCTCATAACATATCTTTATCATTTCACACAGCCCAGCTGAGAGACGGTAGCTGAAAATCACCTTTACATCCTGCCTGAGACCGTTATAAAAAATGGTAAGTTTTAAGTTACTGACTAAAAATGCGCTACAGATTTAATGGACAACATAGTTCAAAATGAGACAAGGAATGCATGCGAGACTGGTGAGAAGAATGCTTCTCATACAGACATGCACTCCAGTTCTCTCTCTTTCTAGATGGGCTTAACTTGACTGAATTTCCCGGCAGCAATGAAAACAAAATTTTTTTCTTTCCTGCTACAGTTGAGTGTTGATTGGTAAACGGCAGATCTTCCTGTCTGAGGCTGAGCCAGCCTGCATAGAGCAGAACTGTTGTTATTGCACATTCACAGTGCGAGATAAACATGAGTAAGAACCATGACTAAGAGCCAGGCACCATCCCCTCCAAGCATCTGCCTTCCCGGGTCTCCCTGATTCGTGGCACTGGTGGCTTCTGACACCAACTTCCCCTACTGGGACATTGTTGTGAAAGCAGCTAAAGCAAGAAGTGAAGCCAAACAGAAATAGCATTGGCTTGTAGAGAGATCTTCTGCACTGACTGCAATCCACAAACTGTGTGTCCATTCTGAACTCCAGCTCCACATAGTCATTTAATGTCCCACCATTGGGAAATCACCAAGCAAAACAAAGGGAACGCTAAAAAAAAACAAACACCAAAAAACAAAAAAACCCTACACAAAAAGAAACAGCCTGCATAGTAGAAAGGTCACTCAGGACACTGGGTCCTGAAACTTAAAAACAGCTGGATATGTTAGAGTAGCGAAGGAACTGCATTTATAAGTTGCATGAGGATTAACGTCTGTGTTGGGCATCAATTGGCTACAAATAAGTTTAGAGAGAATATCAGAGGAAGGGTTCGAACCATCAAAAGAATGGCGTTCTTGGGGCAAACAACCTACCAAGATGGAACTTGATGAAGTTATGGAAGGGATGTGACAAGAAGTCTTGAGGTCCCAGGAGGGCTGCCCATTCTTACTCCTACAGTCCTATGCTCCCTGTGATATGGGCAGGTTTTAGCCATATCCAAATCAGATCCCATGTTTGCACCACCTCACCCTCCACTGGGTACAGCAATCCCAGGTACGTTTTGTATTTCAATTACGTTTGTACAGTGCCTTGAGTTCCAGTGCACTGTACACAGAAAAGATATTATTCTAAAGGGCAAAGGGGATTGTACATTAATTTAATGCCAGCTAAGTCAGAGAGATAAGTAGATAACTAGCTGGCTTGCCAGAATAGGGTGGGGCCAGGACTTGCGGTAAGAAAGGAAGTTTTGTAGCCAAAAGGAAAACACACACAGCATAGGGGCTGGAAGACCAGCAGCTGTAATTCTCCAAGGAAATGCTTGGATGCTGTAGTGATGGATGCTATAGAAAATCCTATAAGAAAACAACTGGAATATCTCACCCATAATACTTCTCCGGCAGGATAAGACAAGGGCTACTTACAGCATGAGCATTCATATCACAACTGTCTTCAACAGAGCCATGCACACCACTGCTACATTTTCCCATACCCCTTTTGGGACTCAGCAAACAACTCCTTTACAGTGGGTCCTCTTTCCCCCAGGTTACATTGTTCAATACAGATTGGAGTTTCTCTGCTCTCATCCTTTACCACGTCCCAATTTCCAATCCACTTTCCTAGATTTTATAGGGCTGGTGTCTCACATTTGGCCTCAGGCAGGCACAGAAGTAGAATAAGCATGGCAGACAAAAATCAGGTGGCATTTAGTGTTTGCATTAGAAACAAACCAGAAAATACAGGAAAAGGAGTAACAGAACTGAACGAGTGTCTGCACCTCATTTACAAAGTCTGCTTGACACAGAGGTTTTGTATTGGCAGAACTCCTTCTGGTAGGGGTGGGAGATAGGTATTTTATACACACACAAACACACACCCCTGGTGCAGATCCAATTAGATCATTGTTAAAGTGCCTTATACCACTGGAATTTATATCTTCTTTCCTGTACGCGCACTTATATACTGGTTTAGCTGTATACAGACTATGGAAATTGTGCCAATTTAAGCACCCCAATATAGCTAATCATACAGCTTTGATGTTTAGGCAAAGCCTTAGCAGTCTTTAACTGCAAAGCTGCTCTTTAAACAAAGAAGATGATCTTATGGAAAGAAACTACTCTGTAGAAGGAAGAACTGCAATGTAAACACAGATGCTTTCAGCAAGTAAACACGGTGACCCAGGCCAGAACAAGAGTATTGCACTGCAATTCCTCACAACCAGCATCTCCTTTGGGTTAAATCAGAGATCAGCAGAAAGCAGCAGCAGCTGACCCATGGGGGGGGGCGGGAAATCCACAGCTACACCCAAGATCAGCCATCCAGATGCTCAGATCACCTTTAAATCAGCCTGGCAGAAGGAATGCCTGGAAGGAGGGCAGCTCAGAGTTCATGTGCTACAAAAGTCATTCAAATGCCTAGTAAAGACATGTACAATCACATTACAATTCTGCACTGGTATTTCCTCCATGTCAACCCTTTCTGCCTGAGAGGTGGCATCTGCCACACTCAGAGGAGTTTCACTCAGTGAGGCAGCAGGCTCCACTTGCCAGGAGCTGTGTGACTATCTGAAGTTAGCTGCTAAGATCACATGAAGACTCCAGCTAGATAGTATGGACCTTTCTGACTCCTGCACAAGCCAGGCTGGTAAGGACACACTGCATAGGTGCCCTTGCAGTCTGTTAGCTCCTCCTCATACTCTAGAGCTGATTCCAGGTCCAGGTTCTTCTTTACAGAGTTAGGGATATCTTGGAGGATTCCCCTCCTTGATAACTGAGAACAGGGGATGATGGTGACCACATCCAGAGAAGGTCCATGTCTACGGCTAGAGTTTCCAGAGAGGATGAGCCCATCCTTAACCACGTTCTTGGTTCATTTTGATGCAAAGCCAGAAACTGACTGTTCACTAAAGCACGGGTGTCAAACTTTTTCCACCTGGGCCAAATCTGGATCATGAGGTTCCTCATGCACTGGCTCCAGCCCCACCTTCAGCAGCAATGCAAACAGCGGCACTGTTAAGCCCTGTGGCTCCACGAGCCCTGCTGCGCAACCTCAGAGAACTGCAGGTCTTACCGCTACCAATGCTCACACCGCTACTATTGAAACAAGTTCCCAGAGGGGCTCCATACTCCAGAATTCATCCCCAGGGTGAGTGATGGCTGCTGTGTCAGCTCAGGGAGACATAGGGCTTAATGAGGCCACTGCTCACCCAGCTCCTGAATTTCTGGCCTCTCTGGGAGCTCTGAAGGCCAAATCAGGTCCACATGCTTAAGTTACTATTCAGGGCACCAGACAGGTTTGGTATGAACGACTGGGCTGGAGTGAGGAGTAGTAATAGTGCATAACCTTAGACCAT